CTCCTTTGCTGCACGCAAAGTGGCAGGGGCGAGGAGAGACGAGGGAGCGGGAGGCAGTCTGTTACCTCGAGTCAGCCCCTGACCTCTCCCCGGCCTGTGAATCCTCAATAACTCAGTGGAGAAACAGCACTATCTGGTGGAGAGAGCGTGTAAAGTCCTTCCAGGACTCGCAATAGGCTTTATTCAGTTACTGCAGCCACAATTGCAACCGCTTTTGAAGTGTTCTTGAACAAAGTTGATAGTTTGACCGGATTTTCAAAAGGATTTACTTTTTTTACAGTGGCAGAGGAATATATCTGGCTGAGTCTTTACAAAACTGATGCTTATATCGGTTTTAGTGCTTTCCTGAAAGACTGCTTAAACCTTGGGGAAACGTCAGCAAATTTTTAGGCTTTTCCAAGTACAGCAATATGAAAGAACAAGAGGAGGTTTTGGGTGGTTTATTTTTAAAAGGACCAGCATTTCTTATATTTATACTAAACAGATGCACAAGGAATCAAATCAGGCTTGCATGCAGGAAACATCTTTATGTCAAAAAAGAAATAAAAGCCAGAATCCAAGTTATAACCCTTGTGAAATTTGAGGAACTTTGGCTCTGAATTCACACGAGACACGAACATCTTCCAAGCATCATGTATGTGAAGATGTTCACTAGCGTGAGTACATCCACTGAATTCCTTTGAAATTAATGCTTATGTAAGTGCAATAGTTGAGTGTCAGTGGGATCAGTCCCCTTCCTGGCAAGAAATCAAAGATTGCTGGCAAATGCTGACTGTCTTTGAAAGTCAAATTATTATTTAGATACCTAATTTTGGACACATGGCTATGAAAAAAAAGCATCCTCAGGAGCTTTTCACTCCTGTCATGCTGAAAATGAAATTTAGCGTATACCAATAGCTCATTCATCTTCTAAAGAGGAAGAAAAGGCCCAGTCCCACTGAGCTTGGTCCAACCTCCAGCTCCATTCCAAGTTTTCCCTTGTGCCCAGCCAATTTCCTACTACTTTATTCTCCACTCACAAAGCAGGTACCTGAGAAAGTTACTTAAGGCACTCCCAATGCTCTCTGTGAAATGCCTCAGCAAAAGAGATCTTGTCATTAGCTCTGCTACTGTCTCTAGTTTAATTATACTTCTGGTACTCTTCCCAACCCCTTTTAAAAGAACATAAGAAACACTGCTTCAACTTGTTAGCTTTCACTGGGTATAGATCTCTCAGAATACCTCTATATTGCAACTGATGTGGGACTACAGGATTTGCAGCTTTAAGGTACCTATTTCTGGCAGACATAGAGGCATGGTGACCACAGTGATATGTCTACCAGCCATCCTGATTTCAGGTACGCACCTGCTTTGCTACCCAAGATTAAAACCCATGACTTTATACCTTCCTAGCAGTTCTTACCTGAGCTGGATAGATTACCTCCAGCTTAAGCATATCTGCATGTACTACAAAACCATACCACCAGTTGCAGAAACATATGCTTAGGTCACAGCTAAGGAGGCTTCTGGCTCAGCTAGGCAGAGCAGTATGATCCCAGACAAACAGAGCTGTGCCAGGGGCTCTCACCATTGTGGGATTTTTGTAATACTATTTTCTTCCCTGTGGATGGTGATTTTATTATACTGATACAAAAACTTTAGCACTATACATCTCTCTGGTAAAATACAGTGGTATTTCTATACTGGAAACATACCCCAAATACAAAAATAGGCTTCCTCCTGGTCAAGTACACGTATCCTCTCAGCCTTGACATACGCAGCCTTCATTGCTGGCAACATTCACTGCAGGTTTGCCACTTGCAGGATTGTTGCTAGTCTAGACATGGAGTTGCTGCAGAAACTTGTGAAGGGTAAAACCCAGATTTGTTCTGTTCTTGGTTTATCAGCCCTCATCCTGAGAATTTTCTTGGGCAGGAAAACCTGCAGCTAATGAACATTGCTTAAGACTGTAATAGACCAGATTGTCCTTGCTAATTGTGAGACAGAGTGACAGGGAGGCAATTCTGGAATGGATTGGGCTGCAGGAGAGAACCCCCTGCCCTAGAACAGCCTCTCTCCATGCATACAGGGTAAGCCTTGTAGTTAGTGCTTTTCTAAAAGGTACAACTCTCTCTCTGCAGTAGGACCAGAAGAAACCAGGAACATGAACTTGAGTTTTGCCTTTCCAGGTCCTTTTCGTTCCTTTCTCTCTACCATGTAAGCAATTACAGGCAAGGAGCAAGCATTGTCTAGTGATAAATGCAATTCCTTTCATCATAGGAAAGCTAGTTCTCGAGTTGTCACAGCCCCTTGAGGCTGGACACTCAATGCATTTTGGGATCAGCTGTCATTTATCCATACTCCTGTTAGTTTTTGCTCTATTTCTCTCTATAGAGTACCACAGTATAGTTGCTACTGGAAAGTGTATCCCATTTCAGGTGGGCTTCCCAAAAAGAAATTTTCTGAGGGGATCTGAGCATGTTTGCCTGCAGGAAATGGAACTGACCCTACACTTCCACATACACTAGAGGACTGCAAGCTATATGACATATGGTAGTGTAGAGCACACCAATAGAACAGGCTAGAAAGACTTACTGTGCTGCTGAACCATTTAGTGTGAGTGCACCAGATAAAAAGTAGGGGAGGCTCTGAGTCAGGACAACTTCATATTTGAGTGCCCAGGCATCACTGGCTGTAGTAAGGAAATAGCGGCAGGGTGTACGCACGTCACTGAAGCATTGCTAGAATTCATCCTACTGCCTTACCCAAGAACCCTTATAGGGTTTGGAGTATCTGTCACTGCTACGTGTGACACTCCAAGGCAAACTCTTTCAGAGCTGCTAAGTTGCAGCAGAGTAATAAGTGTGCCCAAGGTGTAATAATAATGACCAGCTTCTGCTGATTTTTTGGATGATTTTCAATTATGCATCTGTTCAGTAGTATCAATTAAATGTAAAAAGAAAAGGCTTTTCAAAAGTAGGTATCATCACCACCTTACAGAGCAGAGGAGTGAGAAAGAGAATGATTAAAGCGATGCATTTTGGAAGTGCCTCTGAATTTTGAGTGCTTTAATTGTAAAATATATGACTAGAGATATCTCAAGTGGACAGTGTTGAGAGTTTAGTTCTAACCACCTGCTTAAAATCACATTTGAAGTCATTAACAGTCATTAATAAAACCTGTATCTCATGATTCCCCCAGTTTTCAGCTTTACTCCAGCCTTTTCCCACTGTAGTATCCAAGAACCCAAACTTTTTGAAATTGAGAAATTTAGGCAGAATAAAGAAGTGATGTAATGATTTACAGTATTTGCAGTATTACCACTCAGGACATGTAGAGCACACCGAGTTGTGTTTCCTACCTGGCTTCCTTAGCCAGTTACGATGATGCTCAAAGCCTAAAAAGGCCTATATGTATGTGCATAACACTACACAATCTGAAATGTCAAGATCTGGGACTCTTCAGTAGACTTATTTCTGCACTTGTCTTTGGAGAACTGAAACATAGTACCTAGCTACACAAGTACGTAATATTTATGCCTTTAAAGTTGTTAAAGCCAAGCTTCATTTCCTAGCATAGGTGTCAGTTTCAACTTTTTTAAGACACAGGCAGTCCACCAATGGTTTCTGCTCTAACATACTTCTCTTGAGGGAAGGAAGGGAGTCAGTACTGGGAGAAAACGCTGAGGTGTGGACAGACAGAGATCTTTTCCCACGTGTTGATGCCTAAAGGGCCTCTACTGGCAACACAGACTAGAAAACAGTTGACCACTAAACTACTATGACTCATGACTTGAGAGTTCACAAACAGAATAAAGGCACAAAGAATCACCAGGTCGTAATTACTTCTCCACAGGTTATTTTACTTTTCCTTCTCTTTTTTATGTTTGTGGGTGTGGTTTTAAGTTTGTCATACTCCATTCTTCTCCATTTATATGCTGAAAACATACCCACCCCACTATCTGTCCCGCTAAAAGCTTCATCCTTTTTTCTTAGTCTTTTCTGTACCAGCTTGTAGAAGTTCTCAAGTAATGCAAGGAATTTTCTTCCTCTAGTGCAATCCCATTTTTTTCTAACACAGCATGAGAAGGGCAGAAAGCAAGATGTAATCCTGCAAAGCAGAATGCCTGCAGCAAGACAGGGCACAATCCACTCCCATTACACACAGGTAATAGGGAACTTCTGAGCCCAAGCAAAGCACTACACATCTGAGTTAGTGCTACTTACTTAGTAATTATACCTCTGTACACATAGCAATCTACAAAGCTTTCACATGTCTATCCTCAAAGCACCATCTTGACTTTCATTTTAGGATATGATAGTTATTCTATAACGGCAAAGAAAAATTATATTTGATTTACCTAGAAAACAGGTTTTCTTCCTCATGAAAATCAAAGAAAACAACAGGGTTTTGTTTCGTGGTTTTTTTTTGTTTTTTAATTTTAATGTGGTTTTAACACATTCACAAATAAATCTGTATTTATCTACGTTTAGCAGGTAACTTCTGAAAGACATCCTTTTGCTCTCCTCCCATAAATATTTCTGCTTTTGGACACATCAAGGAGTTTGAGGCAAAAAGAAAAAAGGAATACCATAGACTACAAATGTTCAGTATCTGAAACCCATCTAGCTCTCAAATGAAAGTAATCTATCATGGAATTTAAAGTTTTCATATGAAAAAAGGTTTGGTTGTTGTTTTCTAAGTAAAGCAGGCACCCCAAAAGAAATGTGTGAGAGTTGTCTGCCTTCATCTACTCTATGACAATTATGTCAGTTACTTCTTGTTATCTGAATTGAAATGAACTATTACTAGTATACTTGTCCTAATGCTGCTCTCATAAAGTCAAATAGGTAACTGATCCAAAGAAATCAAAGGTAGGGCTGCCAAACCTTAACAAATCTGACTTAAGAGAAGTTATATGAATTATTTTTCCCAGGTAGACTCAATGTTAATAAAAATATTTAAATTAGATTAGTTACAGTGCTTCTTTGAAAAAAAAACAAAACCCAAACATCAAGAAAAAAAATAATTGTGGGTTTATTTTTTACCATAACTGTCAACACAATTTGATGAAAATGTATGTCAGAATTATAAGGGCATAGCATTTTTCTGAAGTGCTACTCATGAAAAACATTTCCCATCCCTAATACTAATATAACTGAAGGAGTCCTTTGGGAGACTGTCAGTATCCATGGTATTAACATCCTGAGTCTGGGGAATCCAGTGTCCTTCACCCATCCTTAGAAAAAGCCAAAGAAATTTACTGCCTCTAGAGGTCTATATGTGATGCTTTAAACAGTAGCATAGACAAAATACTAATATTTCTATCTTTGATTTGACTGTTCTTGCAGGTACCACAGTCCCCACATCACTTCATTCTTCATAAAATAAATAATTCAAAGTATGTATTTATCCACATCACGTAGCACATCATAGTTTCAGTTTTGTTTTCTCCCATTTATTTGTTTTAATCTGTTTATTTACACTGTCCTTAACATATCTTTATATCCCATTCAAACTCATGAGATTTCTGGTTTATGCTCCAGTTTGTATTAGAATTTTTACACTAGATTTAGCCTGGGGAGAAATGTAGGCACTTTATTTATTAGGATAAACTTATATTTGTAAATAAAAGGAGCAGTTTCTTTATGTAACTCTTCCTCCGACATATGGAAGTAGCTTACACTTGCTCCAAAACACAGAAAGCTGTGATCTGCACTAAGGAGTCATAAGGAAGAGAGGAAGGAAAGAGTGGATAACAATCAGGTTAAAAACTGGTTTTATAATCAGCAAGTATTTATCATCACTGAAACAGCTATTATCCAGTATAATCAATGTAGAATTTAATCTATAATTCTAACACATTTTTCCAAGTCTGTGCTGATATATTCGTAACTTCACAAAATACTTATTTTGGACAGAAACTTTTCTAGTTTTGCCTAATCTTTTTACACACAATTTGAGTATCATTCCAAACATTTCTATATTATGTGTGGATTAACAACATAACCTTTTCCAGATGTTTCAGTAGGATATTTTATGCCTGAATACAGAAGCAGAGGACCAAAACATCACCTAGTTTGCTTTGGCGTGGGCTTTTTATTTTGCTGTGATCGAAGAAATGCCAAGTCTGGAAAAATGAGGATAATTGTTTCAAAGTTATGAGTTTTAAATGAGGTGTTTTCCTCCAAAAAACTTTGTCTAGGATTTTTTTTCTTCTCACTCTAAAATGACATAAACTAACAATATCAAACGCACTAAGATATCTAAATGTTAACGTTCTGGTGTCCAGTGATGATGACAAGATCATGAAGCAGAGCTCCCATTGTACTTAAAACCTATTAAAGCTATGGCACTGTACTGAGATATAATGGATTCAAATACCTAATTTTAATGACCTCTAGTTTGGAAAGATGTCTTCTGCTGATTCAGAAATTCATCCAATGATTGGATCCACGTGAATATCTACCAAGAAAAAAGACAAGCAGAAATGAGTGAGTTCAAATATTTCAGGTCTGGGATTGTTTGAGTAAAACCCACTGAATACTATTTCATCCATTAGGTTATTAATGGGACCGTTCAAGTCCTCTGCTGAAACTTAATACTCTTTACTTTGGGAATACAAGTCTACTGATGAGAGATAGCGTTCAGAAAGGCATTTGAAGTCAGCAAGCTGTGACATGTTGACACTCACCTTTTTCCATAAGGACAGTGCATCAGCATGTGGAATATAAAATATGGATGGTTTTCTTCTCTTTCCTGATTATTAGTAGATTGCATGGAGTGGATGACAATTTATTTATTGCCAGCTGTCTGAAATACCCTTTATAAGGACTTTTTTTTTTCTAGCTAAGCCGGGGAATGCTTATTTACCTCAGGAGACAACTTGTAGTTGTATCATAGCCATGAAGCTGTGCAGTGAAGCACATGTTCAGTTTAAGAAGACATCTGCGACTTCAGGAAAGTGCTTCAGAATAAAAAACAACATGTTGTGCACGTACAGTTTTCTGTTCTCCATTTGACATGAGAGAGTTCAGGAAGCTTCAGCAGAAAACAAGGGAGACTAAGCAGCAGCAAGTTACTGCACTGGCAGAGTGCAATTACTGCAATGGAAAGGCACAAATGGTCCATCCTTAGCAGATGAGAAATACCGAATTGATTTACACCACATGATTAAACATGTTCTGGAATTGTCCCTGCTAGGAATGTTTTCTAGATTTGCCCTTCAAACAGCTGTTCAGCATACCTGCTCATATCCTTCTGCTTTACAAGACAGCTTCACAAAGCTCTCTTGGGAGGGCAAACCACATTTGACTTAATTTTATGGAGGCTCCTTCCAAACTCTACAGGAAACTCGCTCAGTACCTCCTTTAAGGGGCCAAACACAGACCCGCATCTCTGTGCTCCTCCTACAACCTTCCAGTTTACTTTTTCTCACAAAGGCACTTCAGGGAGAGGCATTTCTCAAACTGGCAGAAGAGATCTATCTAGGCACACAAAGGGAGAATGATGGGAGTACTCTCTGCTATTGTGTGTATTTACAACTGGGATACTGTTGTGACACCAGGTTACTGCCCATCAACAGCATTTATTACTGTTGTTACAGAAGCAACACTGCTAAAATATGGGCTGTTCCTTGATGCCATTTTGTTTGATGGCAAAATGAGAACACAAATATCTGCATTTCTGGGGAGAGCTGATGGTGAGTTGCTGCAAAAAGTACTCAAATACAAAGAGACAAAACAACCAAGTTAATACAATTATGTTTCCCATAATGAATCTTCCTTGTTACTTGCTTTCTTGTCACACTACTGTCAGGTCTAATAACATAGGCATCATCTTCTACTCTGAATTATCTTTAGAGTTTGTCTTGCTGATTTTTTCAGCAGTAAAATCTTCAATCACAGTCTGTCAAAGACACAAAGGAGCATCAGCCTGCTTTTTTGGTTATGACAGATGTATTCCTGCACCACTCCTGTTCATTCAGAATGTTGTAAGGATTTGTGTAGGTTTTTGCCTAAAACAACATACTGGTTGCTCTCATTTATTCTTGTTAGCATAAACTCATGCTGTTGATTTTCACTTTCAGGTTCCTACGCAGCCCATCCCCACTCCATCTACAATGGCTCTTTCCTAATAACATGTCAACACCTTCTCTGATCACTGACTCTTAGAAGCAGGCAAAACTCCTTTCTTATGTTTTAATTCAAGAAGAGAAGTGTTTTTTTCCATGCTGCCCTCATGCCTAGCAGTTCCCTGGAGACACCTGTCCATCTGCCCACTGGGCTCCAGACTCCAAACTCTACTGTGACACCCACAAATACACACAATACCAGTCTGCTCTTCTTCTACCTACAGCTTGGTAGGATCCTGCTCCATGACAGCAGCTCCCAGTTCTTATGATAATATTAACAGAAGCAACAAGGACTCAATAAGCAAAAGGTCTTTTGTGGGAATAGACTTCTTTCTGAAAAGTCCAGATGCTAAACCAGCTTTGTCTAAATAATGACAGACTAGGAAAGAAGAAAAAGGGACTTTCAAACCCTTACAGTTGCGCCCTCCAACTCCCTCCCAGTAAGAGGTATGAAGGATGAACAAGCTTTCTAGTTTTACCAGCAGTAGTAAGCAAAACCCCCACAGTTCATAGGGAATAAGTCTTCTCCTTCACTAGAAAATGCTAGAAATCACTGTAAACCTACATTCAAAGGTACTTAACCAGCATCTCTTCCTCTATCAGCATGGTATTCAAGCTATTTAATATCACTTTCCCTTTCAAAGATTGATCACACATTTATTAAGGTGCATCACTTCTGATCTGATCTTCCAGCAATTTATCATGCTTTTACTACCTATAACTGTCATTTTAAAGATTTTTTTTTTAAGAGTGGGAGTTTCAAAAGAATATTTTCTAAAAACACATCCAAATCCCCATGGTCACCTACAGTTTTTACCATACATTTCTAAATCCTAACTATAAAGTAAGATTAACAAATAATTGCACTGCAGTATATTTGGTGAAGTGACTGTACTTTTCTTCACCAGTGAAAGGTGAAGTGGCCAGCTAAAATGAGAACTAAGCAGCTAATGGAAGAACACTTCATTTAGGAATGTAAGGAAGTGTAATATGCCACGCACATCCTAAATTAAGTCTTCTGGTATTGCAGAGCCATGACTGCAAAGTCATTGTGTGTATATGGGTGGGAGTCGGCAAATAGCTGTGATGGAAGCTCAAAGTTTCTCTTTAATCTTGTAATGTGTTCACTGGTATTTTATTTACAGAAGCAATTACTTCTGGCTATATATAGTTAGTTACTGTAATAGTTATCTTACAGGAATAGCAACCAAGTTTTATGTGTCAACATTCTCCATTCACTGGAATTTTTGGAACTTCTTGTGAGAGAATGAATTACCTGCGATGTTGCAGGATAACCAAGACAAACAGAAGCAACCAAACTGGCCATTTTATAGGCCTGCTAGTACAGTTAAAGCCAACGTTGCTGGGTCGCTGTTTCTTAAACCTAACAACACTGCTTTAAACTTAGCAAAGATGAGGCACTACATACGTTTATGTTACTTTAAAAATGTTGGCCTGGTTACAAAATCCTGCGCACACTTCAAACTGAACAGATATTGCAGCTGAGTCTGCAAGACTGACAGTAGTTATTTAAAATAGCGGTTACTAGGATTGCTAGCAGAGACATTTTCAAAGTATTGCTAACCAAACTGCAGGCTGCCATGCTAGCAAAAGTACTGACACACATTACAACTACAACCACAACCAAAAACCAAGCTCTAACGTCACCCGGTGAAGGCCACGCCAGGGTCTAGCAGGATATTCTAGCAATAGTTGTTGGTGGCAGTTGTCACTTCCAGAGGGGCTGGATCTAAGGGGAAAACACATCTCTCCCTGCATGCGTCTTTCTCAGCTCTCATCTAGGATCAGGTTAATCCATCTCCAGCTGCAGCTCTGCTGAAGACAGTGGAATTTCAGACAGGTGACAAAGGCCTTATGGGACTCTCATTTTCATCTTTACATTTGTGTGGATTTGGCCACACACATAAAAACCCTCTTCTGGATTTTAAAGCACCAGCTTGCTTTCAAAGATTGGAAAAGAGAGGAAATGATGACTGAGAAATAAAGAAGTTCTCTAAATGCTAAATTGTATCAGAATATCTAACACTATGACTACATTTTGACTACATATAAACTTTGTTTCAAAATTATCCACGGATTACTTAGAATTACTTGGTTAGAATTAAATCAAGAATACTTGGTTTAAGTATGCCTGTATGAACTGTCAATGCCAGCAACAGGCAGACAGGGAACATGGCAAAAATCAGATTGTTACTGTCCAGGCACTGACTGGAACTGGTCAGAATCTTTCTGGCAGGAGTTTTCCTGTAAAATTTAAGATTCTTATGCAGCCCCTTTATGGGCTAATACCTGAGTGCATGATAGTCACTGTTTATCCTCACATGCCATTTTAGGAAATGCTATTAGTAGCCCATTTTCACAATAAGGAACCAAGGAACAGAAAGAGTCCCTCATTGAAGGTCACACAGGACAGCTGTAGCAGAGGAGAAAATTGAGTCTGAGATTCAGATTAATGTTCCCTAGACCAAAGCCCTTTTCATAGCTTGCTGAAAGCATCTGATCAATTTGTAAGCACTTAAGCTGCTATTCGAACAGACAGGAATAATGGAACACGTTTCAAGGCCCCTTCACTTGCCAGCATCATCTCCTGTTTTCAGAAGTGATGGATTTAGTCCCTCTGTAACAAGACACGCGGCCTCATGGCTATTGAAGGTCCTTACCCAGGTGCTTCTGCAGAGCCAGCAGAGGAAACTGGAGACTCTGATTTGCCTCTGAGGCATCCTCATCCCACATGCAGAGAACTGACAAGCAAATATATCTATATATATAGGGTAAAATAAAGAGGGTAAATCCTTTTATATGGATAACAGTACAGGAATAATGGGGGTTGTTAGTTCAATGGATGACCACTTTAATTCTGATTCTCCCAAATGTGACTTTTCCCAAAAAACCCTGCAGCCTAGAAAACAGTTTACTATAATCTTGAGCATACTTATTTACAAAAATCAGAACTGACCTCAACAGAAGCAGAGCTGTCCTCTAGCCATCTTTAAACCACAATTTGCTTCTGATTCTAAAGAGACATTCTCTTCTGAAATAAATTCATGCAGTAACTCAGGAACAATAGCCTATACTGGAGTCTAAACATCCCTTAGTATTCCTTATCTTCCTTTCAAGATTTAGTTCCTTTTCCATTCCCTTAGGTATACAGACTGGACATATTAGCATGTAACGCAGCTTCAGGAGTAATCCTGCAAAACAGTTGCTGGATCAATAGGGAGAACAGTCACACTATCTTCTCTGCAGCTGTACAGTTAATGGATCCACTGGAATACCAATGGATTTTGAAGATGCAGGATATGGTTCTCTA